TCGCTAGTTTATATGGATTAAATTTAACCTCTCAGAGCATCAGTTTCTTCACTAGCACAACAGGATCTAATGGTACTAAGCTGAGTTTGAGCTTGCAAGGCAGTCACATATATTCTCATTTTGTCCAATTTAGTTGAAGACTGGTTATGTACCAACATATAATTTACTATAAATAAACATACTCTTTCACAAGTATTTCATTCCTATTTTACCACTGTGGCAGAGATTGAATAAAGTTTCAACAACATTTAACTAAGCTTCTACCTAAACTATGAAACGTTAAAGGTACTGACAGCATTAATTGATAGTGCTGATTTGTTAATGTGAAGACTGGATTGCTTGGGTTGTTGAGATGCCTTTTTCAACTGGGATCCATGCACGCTCAAGCTAGGTTTTATTACCATCTGAGAAATGGAGTGGAATGAAATGGAATTCATTGCTTCACTTCCACATCTTGCATTTGCTACTTTTAATTTCCCTAAGGTTTTTTTGGATAGTTCTATTCAGATGAAAATAACAATACTTTTTGTTTGAACTGCAGCTTCCACACTGATATCTTTACTTAGTTTAGAAAGATATTTTGCCAATGTACAAAGTACATTTACTGGCAGATTTTGCTCACAACAACAAAACAGATCTTGATCCATGCTGCCCATAAGGAAAAGGTTCAAATTAATTTGTTCTCACTCTATCGTGCATCTCCTGCTTTCCCAAGAAAGAACTGAAACCAAAGCCAAAAGCACAAAAGAGGGTGCAGAGCAAAAATAACTACATAGAAAGGCTTACAAGGCCTTACATTGTTCCTTGTCCTAAGGCACATAGAAATGATTTTACCAGTGTGACATTGATGGTAACACCTGGAATGCTGCTCTGTTACTCTACAAAGCATACTGATGCTTTTCCACATTCTGAGCATTGCCTGGTTCAATCTAAAGTCTATAATGTTCCTTGGAACTTCTATATTTTAGGTTGTTGTCCCTAGAAACTTATAATACTAAAATTACAGATTAGAGTCCATAACCAGTAACACTTTTAATCTCATCCTAGCCTTGGCATTAAAGATTGTATACTAAATCCACTAAATCTGCTGTTATTTTTATAAGGTAAATCCAGTAGGTGCATTTTAATTGTGTGTTGCCAGGAGACACTGCATTACTAACTGTGACTCATTTATTGTTATTGAGGAATACCTAAAATACATGTTTATTATTATAGTACTATAATCATAATATATTGGATAATAATCTTTATGTACTTTTTACAAGTTTCCTAATTTCACTATCAGAGATAAGTAGATTTATAAAAGGAATGGATGCTAAGAAATGAAAGAGAGAGGGGAAAAAAAAGAAAGAAAATTTTGGACACACTCCCAAAAAGCCCTTAGTGTTCTGTTTTTCTAAGCACTCTTCAGCAGTATCCATTGCTCAAGAGAGCAAATGAAAATATCACTGCTGAAGTTCAACTAAGCTGTAAGATTGTTTAATGTCTGTCTACATCTTATCACATTCAATAGCTAATTCTCACAAGATTCTCTTTTCTTATAGATTCGCCTATTAAAGAAAGTGCTAAAAGATGGTGTACTTTGGGATCACCTCACTTGGGTCCTGATGTCACTCTGCTAAGGCAACTGGAATATTACCACCTTTTGAACACAGGGCAGAACGAAGTCCTTATCTGGGAGGTGTCACAAAAATCTCGTCATGCTCCACAAGGAAACATCAAACACACTGATCAGTAGAGGCCAAGGGTCAGGTAAGAGGTCAGTTCCCAACTCCAGGCAAGAGGGTGAAAATATTTAAAAACTGCTCCAGAAAAATAATGATGAGATGGACATCTAAGCTGCCAGGTATTAAAAAATGCAGCATGTGGTTTCTATCCTTGCAACACAAGCTGTTAACATTTTTTCTTGCTTTTTAAAATAAATGAATACAAAATAAGGTCATTCAGATGTTTATTTTCTCTCTTGTGAAACGTAAGATCAAGATTCCACGGTTCTCAATCCAAACCTTCATTAAGCATGAGTGTGGATGCATTATACTGTAAGAATGGTTTTTTCTTTATGTTATACATTGCTGCGTGAAGCACATTTTAAATCAGAAAACATCTTTGCAAAGCTGTCACTCTGACTGGGTGAAAGTTACACGGCTCTGAGTTTTATTTCTTATCGATTTGTGTGTTTATTGTGTCAGAGTATTCCGTATACTTAAAGAAATTATTAAAGTCACATTATCTGTAAATGAATCTCATAAATGTAACGTTTATTATATATTTATATAAATGTCAATTTATACATTTTGTTAATCTTATGGGAAAATGCACTTAAAATCTCATGACTTGAAGTCATGAGAATGACAAATACACTCAATTAGGATTATTGAAGAATTTAAACTGACTTGACCAACATTCATAATGTTAATCTCCTTCAAGAATAGAGAAATCTGTGGGAATTCCCCTGACTCTACTCTGCAAACGTCTTTTCAGTAGTGCAAACTTTTAAATACTAAAAAAAAAAAAAAAAAAAAAAAAGAAGGCCAGTTATTTCCCAAAAGTGGGAAGTATTATGCTTTTCACTTCACCATTCACCCCATGCTATTGACACAGGTTGAATGGGGCTTAGCATCCAGTGGATTTAAATTGCCAAATGGGAGACGAGTCTCATCACGTCCTTTGATTATCTACAGGAAATGTGCAAAGAATTACAGCTGATTGCATTTTTCTCTGCTCCTGACAGTGCTCCAGTTGCTTCTGAAAGGTATGTCTGGTTCCAATCCTGGGGGAAGGGTATTTATGAATAGGTGTTGTTAAGGGTTAGAAAATACCTGATAGCATCACACCTTGCTTCTTTTTGGCACAAGCTGTCATGCTAATGTATCATATCATTTATTTTAATGAGCACAGGGATGGTGTTACATAATTATGTGGAGGCTTTGCAGCTTTCAGCCTGCAGTGCCGAGTGGAGAAGCGCTCAGCTCCAGCGCGTGTGCGATCCTTGGTCCTTCCTGGGTTCTGATTTTGCATTTCTAATGAAGCTGAACTGACAAAGCGTGAAAGTGGTCTAAAAGGAAAAACAAAGAAAGTGACCCTGTTCTCACTGCGCTGAGGCTCATCAATATTCCAGCAGCTCTGCTTTCCCCTCTCCCTGATGTCTTTAACTTTTTTTCGGAGCTGGGCTGACAGTCTCCTCCCCTTTCCTTAAGTTGCAGTGATAGCAAGTTGCTGCGTTCCCCAGCACACGCGGACTGTCAGTTTTCTGCCTCCCGCTCGCTGAACCGTGCAGCTCTGCTGCATTTGCTGGGAAATCCCAACCTGGTCTGCCAACAGCGCACGGAACCACACAGGTCTGGAAAGGTGAGCGGACCCTTCAGCTGCGCGGGAGCCCTCATTTCTCACTCCTATCCTTTGTATGTTCCTTAATACAATGATCCTTCTGCCTATACCCACGTTCTCTCTTGACCTTAGCACTGAGTTGTTGTAGAGCACATTAGCTCTGTAGAGCTCCATAGATTAGCTGTATGAAGCATCTAGGGAAGAAAAGGCATGCAGAATGAATCTGTTTCTTGCAAAACAGTGAAAATTAATTGCTCTGAAAAGAACATCTTGCACCTAGTGCTCATACTCTGGAATAAGTACTAACGTAAATATCTGGTGCAAATGTTTTCACTCTCTAAGTGAAACATGTGTCCTTCTGTTAAAATTCACAGAGAATGCTGCGCTCATGTGCCAGTCTCCAAACATATGGTAATTCAAAAAGCAGAGATCAGATCTCAATAAAATTAATTTGCTACTAGATGATATTTCCTTCAAGACAAATTGTTTCAAAACCTTTTGTATTTATATTCTAACTGCTTCCTAAAGGAGAAAAAATATATATATTTAGGCACTCAATTTACTAACGTTTTACAGTTAAGCTGTGTATATGCAGAGACAGGTTTCACTGGAAAGAACTGACTGTACGTGGATACAAATTTCTGATTTCCTCATAAAAACATTCTGGTATATTAACACCTCAGAAAACCAGATTCTCTGTCTGGAAAACCACCTTTGTGCAGACGCCATTATGAAATAAGTCAATACCAAACAGATGTCACTATTTTATTCTTAAACAGAAAGTAATGTTTTAATTATAAAATATTTTATGGTTGATTCAGTGGCAAGGTTTCTTGAAATCAGACTGTATGCCTGTAGTTGCTGGACATTACATGCAAGGAGAGCTTGTATTATGGTCAGAAACAACAAGCTAAGTAGGATATAACTTCTCTTACTTTACAGATGTACTCCAAATAGTTTGTACTTCAAAGATGAATATTATCAACACAGAACTGTCAGGGGCACACCTTCTAAATAGTGGCTGAGGGATGAATAAATGATTCCTGCTGTGTTTTGCCATGTGAAAAGGAGGAATTCAGACAATGCAGGCAGCCAGTTAAAAACATCTGAAGTGCAGAACACTTTAAATGTTCCAATTCAAGCAAAATATTTCTCTCCAGTGTTTATAGTGAAGATGAGCTGGCTTTTTTTTTTTTTTTTTTTTTTTTTTCTTTTTTCAGATGGGAAGGATTTCCTAATCAGATGGGAAGTACACTTGACATAGAATTTTAAGCCCTATAGCACCTTACACTTCCAGGAATAGTAACCAGTTCATGTTACTCTATCTCTAGGAATCACAAAAAGTTACCCCTGGTTTTTACAGAATGGCAGCAAGCTCATTGTAACTTTTTAATGCACAGAATGCCTGTCTGAACAGAACATTAAATCTTTCCAAGAGTTCTTCTCGCAGTCAACAACTTAGGTATTACAACAAATACAAGTTTTATTGAAATGGGAAGAACATCTGCTTCCATGTAAACATGTAGTTAATCATTCCTCTGAAATCTTATTGCAGTTTTTGGTATTTCTTGTCTTACAGGCTCCTCCAGCAACACTTATAGAAAGGGGTCTCCCATTTTTCTGAAAGGATTTTGATAAAAGTTTATTATAAGAGAATACTTTCTGCAAGATAAATGACTAAAGGTAACGGAGAAGATCCCAAAAATGGAAGTAGGATGGAACGCTTTCAACAAGGAGTCCGGAAACGTACACTTTTGGCAAAAAAAAAGGTGCAGAGCATAACAAAGGATGATGTTAAAAGTTACTTATTGAGGAATGCCTTTGTGCTCTTCACCGTTGTTGCTGTGATTCTTGGTGAGTCATTTATTCAATAGGAATATTCTGTTCTCCACTGCATTTGACAATGACAATTTGCCTGGGCGTTTTGCATTACAAACAAGATCCCAAATTCTTCTGCACTGATAAGGATGATCTTGCTTGGAGAGTTTGGGCTCTTGCAGCTGCGTGTTGAAGCTGTGGGAAGAGCCATTTAAATTATTTTAGTATTTGTAAGAAAAATTTTGGGGGAAGAGATCAGATGTTTTACAGGCTCTGCTCCTAAAGAATTAAGCTCAATAACTCTAACAGAATGTTCTCAGTAAAATCTTTTACCCAAAGCAGGTTCAGCGAAATGCTCAGTCTCGTAATAATGAATTGCACTTTGCAAAGACTAGCAGAAGTTCTTTATGAATGAAATGGGAATGAAACTTTAACTTACTCCTAACCATACTTCTGTATCAGAGCTTCTGTCTTTTTAATTTCCCCATAACAAATGCAAACTATTCAAAAGTAAGAGCAAGCTTATGCTTTCTCTGTTGCTCACAATCTTACACATGCATCTTTCAGATGCAATTGTGGCAACAATAGAAATGTTACCTGTTCAAAGAACTGCAAGATAACACTTGATTAAGTGCCTCTTTAAAGGGTATAGAGAGGAACATCAAACAGCACGCAGCAACAAAATGTTAATTTAAAATATAGCTACACATTTTATACTTACGTTAGAGACAGAATCATCTGACAAAATATGCGATTTTTAAAGAAAAATAAATACTTTATATAACCTTATAATTACTTTTGATCATTTTCCTTTACATACAGATTGATTTTCTAAATGACATCATATGCTCCTTTAAGTACTCATACTGTCAGCAAAAACATTAAGGTTTTACCATCCTTTCTTTCTGTTTTCATTTTAATTAGTTTGCAATATAGAACTGTGAAACTGCTCATCAAAACTCAAATGTTTTACTTAAAGGTATACATCCTAATCCTACATAGACCCTAATGTCCTTGATGATGCTTGTTCTATTATTCCATCTTTCTTAGAGTTGAAATTTTAGGGCTCTACTATTATTGTGGTTTGGTACCAGTACTGTAGGGGCATTTTAAACCTCTTTCAGTTCTGATGGTCTTTGTCTGGGAGAAAATTTCAATGGTCTGCATAAGGTTAAGATTAGGTACTTTGTATTTGATCAAAAGTACTTTTCATTCCTAAATAAGAATTTGATCAATGCAGAAAAGTCCCAGAACATTAATACTGGGGATACAAACTGTAGACATCTTATCTACAATGGTAAGGAAAGGCAGAGCAAACTAGCCAGGTTTTGAAACGCTGTCCTAACTCAAAGCAATACAATTGAGGTAAATAACAGACAAAAGCAAATCAAGCCCACATTTTTTTAACTACCATCAGGCTCCAGGGCGACTTTCTTAAAATTAGCAATGTAGGAACAGAAACACAGACTGCACAAGTGTGTTTACTTTCCTTGAATGTACTGATTAGCTTTAGAGTACTAGTTACAAACATCTGCCCATGTCTTCCCTACCACCTACAGCCAGGGTAGAGTACAGTAAGGATGGAACTCAAGTTGAAGAATTGATGAAAATGTGCAGCCTCAAATGTCTCAAATCCTCAAATTATGCTCAAGAATATATAGAGACCTCTATCTGCTGTAGTATCTTATAAGAATCTTCTCACTGCTATGAAGGAATATTCCAAAATTTTCTCACATGGGTGGTGTAATTTTACATTACATATGTGATTAGAACAGCATGTTCGCACTTGGCAGGTATAAAAATGTAAAACTTTTTTTGGATAGTTTTTCACTGCTGTGGAAATATACAGAAATCGGGAACAGGTGGCTTAAGAGTTTGGAGAATGTTCACTGGTTGTGCTTCTTCCATCTAGTCTGAACAGAATTCATATTATCTCTTAGCTGTTCAATGATTTGTGAAGAATCAGGTGGAGGGCTCAATCCTTTCCTAGCAGACAGGAACAAACACTGTGGAAATAAACCACCCATTAGGACTGCTGATTGTGTCATCAGAGATGCTTAGATGAGAATACAGGTAGAGACCAAACTATACTCAAGTAAAAGATCTTTAATGCTTTCTATAATCTGTACAGGTAGAAGACATCAATTTCTAGGGCCATCAGTCCACAAATTTTCATGAAGACTCAACTGCAAATCGAAATTTTAGCTTAAATGAGAACAGTGTTTCTTCAGAAGCATTTATTTTCGGCTACTTTTGACTAAGGAGTGAGATGAAAAAGAACATTTCTGAATTCTTTGCTGAGCAGGATCCACACAGGTACAGGTCAAGTGAGTAAGGATCATCTGCCCTAGCCCACTTCCAGGACTATAGCTTGAAGCAAGCATTTGACTATGTCTGGTGAGTTAGTGTCTGTGGAAACAAGCACTTTGTTATGAGGCAGATGGCTGCAACATGCAGTACTTGGAGTACTGATGCTTTACTGACAGAGCAGAGATTTTGTGGCATTCACTTGAGAAGGAGAAATACAATCAATTACCTTAACTTCTGCACACAGTCCAATTCTGAACTGATTTCTAAAGTGGCTACTCCAGTACAAAAACAAATACTCTTTAAAAATCAAAATATGAATGTTTCAGAAGTTCTAACCCTTACTGAGGACTACTCACACACTGTTCTATATTTTTTAAAAATCTCAAGAAAGTGTTTCCTCTGACTTCTCATTTTGCATAGATAGGTTCTGTCTGGCACATCATTCTCATTATCACAACTGTTGCCATTTTTAGAGAAATTCAAGATACTTACAAGTCCTTTGAGAGACTGAGAAAAACATGGTCAGCAAAGTGAGTTACAATTACATTTTTCAGATTCTGCTGGCTCAGCCAGAAACATTAAAATAAGTTTTTTTAGCAGTGGATCTCGACCAAATCCAGTAGATGTGTGACGTGAATTAGGAAGTTGACCATTGATGAATTCAGTGTTGTGATGACCTGGAGCAGTTTAAGGTAGGATAGTTGTCGGGGTGGCTCATGGAAAATCTGCAGGAAGTCTTACCAGCTTTGAAGTGTTGGCCAAATTACTGGCAGAATCTCAGGGGCTGCCCTTTCTCCCACGCTACTTCACTTCATCATCCTGTCCCCAAAATGCCTTCCTTTCAGAAGTTCTTCCTCCAGCGGACACTTGATTCTCTTCTACCAATCTCCCATTTTCCAGAAATGCACACAAGTCCAGATTTTGCTCTGGCAGAACTTCTGAGTGCCCAAAAATATCTTGTAGATTCTGAACTTGTTTTAGAGAAAAGAGATCCTGGGAAGCTGTTCACAGAAAAAATGCTATTATAATCAAGGAGCTCAGTGAAGAAGGAACTTGTGGAGAAAGTACAATAAAAAGCACTTTCTGCATAGAGATGAAACCATTATAGCACCATTCAAGAGGGGAGGAGATGGAGCTCATTTTCAGAACAAATTTGTGTTTTTGGCTACCCACCCACCAAAGGGAGCACAGGGCTGGCTGCATTGTGACATGCAGTCCTCTGTAATTGCAGGGAATCTCACAAAAAATGTGAATTGCTGATAGGCTAATACAACAAGTGTGTGCCTTCCATAGGATCCCAAAACTTTCTAATTGTCCTTTTATACAAACAAACAACCAGTTACAATTACAATAATATAATAATTTAAAATGATTCCTAAAAGATGCAAGTGATACATGGGTAGAAATGGATTAAAAAAAAGAAAAGAAAAGAAAAAAAAAGACAATCTTGTACTTTGAAGCAATATGCTTTCTGCTACTGGTAGATCTCCTGTATCCACTGAAAAGAGGGTTATTGGACCCTGTTGCATGCTGACAGTGTGCACGGTGACAGGCAGCCTTGGTAGAATTTACATGAGAACAAAGCAGAGATTCATCATCATAGCAGAAACTATTATGGGAGGTGAGTCCTAGATGAGATAATATGGTAAACATAAAGAGCAAAATGTGATACCAGCAAAAGGATAAAATATATAGAAGTGAATCACGATACCTTGGGGACAGCTGGAAAGAAATTAATTCTATCTTTTATGAAGTTAGAGGCTGTCTTTGTCCCAGCATTTTCCTAAAGAACCTGCGCTACACAATGGATCTTTCTTACCATGTGAATTCTCCTAGCCCCCTGTATATAAGACATGTATATATGGCAATATATCTCTAAGCAAAGTCTTAATTCTATTTGAAGTTTTAAAATATTTATAGATGCATGGGGGAAAAAAAAAAATAACAAAAACAATCCAACAACAAACAAAGAAGAACCAGACGCCATGTTGTCCTTAGTACAGAGCAACACTTAAAAAATCAGATTATTCTTTTCCAAAAGAAGCATGGAAATACAAGGACCTGTCATTGTGCTGTTTAGCAGCCAGTAACAAATGGCAGACAGTGAAATATGAACAGCACACTGGTTAAGTAGTTACTTGTAAAATAGAATTATGTACATTTATTATCAGAATCTTAATTTCTTATCATGCTCTTTGGTGTTAATGAAACAACCCAGCGCTACTTGTCAGACAGCATACTACATATGCTGTGTAGTAATGAAAATACACACAGCTGCTGCATTCAGTAACAGTGCAGATGTTAGCAAAGGTGCAAAATATGCCCAATGTTACCTTTATACCTTACTTGCTTTTATTAGGCCAATCAGTGGACTTGCCAAGTGGTGCTGAAATGTAACGTTTCTGGGAGATCACAAATCAATCCAGAGAAACATCTATTCACTGTTTTCTTCATACAGCTTGTGAAAATGTAGGCATTGCTGTCTTTTCCAAAACTTGCTCTAGAAATTCAATGTAAATTTTTTTATTTAACACTACTTTGTACAAAATGGATTTCATGGCTCTCTAGGGTGGAGCTCAGGCCATTAACAGAGACATTTAGTGTGTTTATGTGATTTCTAAGAGATTTACTGATAAATTTATCACAGTACTCATAGAATATGGCAATTGTGCCATCAAAGGATAATGTACAAATGGACAGAGGCTGTATTAAAGACCATCAAGAAA